AGGAGCGTTTTTCCTAACTGGAAATGGCAGTTAAGGAGACATTTATATACACAGCATTGTTGGCTTGTGTTTTGAGTTAAGGCACTGCTGACAGGATGGTTTATGATGTCGGACAACTTTTCACCCTGCAGTAAGCATTTTTGTAAAGGTGTCTAATCATCTCTGACAATACCTGTCAACAGTAGTAGTGCTCTGATATTACTGACCCTCTTAATGGTTTATTTTCCCCAAACAATTGCCAAGTAGTTCTCATCCTTATTGACTGTGACAACAGTAGTTCATTGGACGGCCTGCTCCTTATTAACAGAGTAAGTTAGCAATTCATCAAAGTGTTTGGTTAAATTTCAACAGTATTGAACATTATATTAATGATGTTGCTGGAAGTTTTATTCAGAAAACCCACCTGACAGTAATCCTGATTAAATGAGTGCAACTGAAACAGAAGTTTGTGAAACAGGATGGAAAAGCAGCTAGAAGCTGCATCTTCAGAAGGAGTAAGTCCTAAACAAGTGGAAATAAATTGTGCAAGCTTTTCATGTGGATGCTCCAGAACTACCTGTCTGCATGTCCAGGGGCATGCAGAGTCAAAGTGTATTTTTTATAATTCTGCTGGCTGGAATACACAGAGAATAACAGTCTCTTTTTGCTATTTATTACCCTGCTAACATGAGTGGCTAAGGTCCTAAATTCCTAGAACTTTGCCACTGTTTTAAATAGGGCATCGAATTTGTTCCACAGGGAATTCCCCATTTCCCCATTGTATTTTTAAATAGACGTGATATAGTGTGTGTAGAAAAGTGTGTAACTGTGCAGAATACTATGGAAGTGTGTACACCCTTACCTTACCTCTAGCACCTGTATGTGTTAGTATTATATCTATCTCTCACTTATGTTTCAGTGGTACCTAGAGGCCTTTATCTGTTATGTCATCATTTTTACATGAGCACTCCCTATTCATTCTCAAGATCACTGTTTTCTGTGTATTACACAAGGTAGATTGTGATTGAGGCAGAATTCTAATGAAAGGAAAAAATAATACATTCTTTCCTGTCTAATTATTGGGATAGGGAGAGCTGGTTTTCCCTTTTTGTCTGCCACAGTCATTGTCTTGGTAGTCAAGACTAATGATGGAAGCACAGAAGGATGGCACAATACTCCCCCAACAGCAGATTGATATTGGAATTTCAAACTTATTATTTGGTATAGAGTCCTTGACTTTCTTTTTATCAGACCTGCAGTTGTTTTAATCAAATATGTAATTATTTCTACCATTCACAAATCAGAAGATCTGTTGACTAGAATTACTAAGCAAGTTTTCAGTTAAGAACTGATAGTTCCTTACGTGCCTGGAGTAAATGTGTTAAAAGAGGCTGGACATGTCAGCAAAACAAATCTAACTTATTGCCCTTTTTCACAGACAGTCTTATTCCTAATGTCTTTTGGAAGATGGGTATTACAAGAATAGTTCTGCTTTTTTGCATGTACACAACCTTAAATTTACAGCAATTTTTAAGAGATTATTTATGCCTAAAGGCAAAGAAGCAGTCAAGAAGTGAGATTGAGAGGAAGGAAAAGAGAAGGGAAACCATGAAGCCAGCTTAGAAAGAAGAAAAAGTGGACAGTCAAGTAGAAGTGTGTATTGGCATACTCGTGTCTCTCGTTCCCCACTGCAGCAAGTGGAAGTATTTTCCAGCTTCCTGAGTGCCACCTGGGATGGGTTGGTGCTCTCAGGCAGTGGCTGTGGGATGGGATGGGATGGGATGGGATGGGATGGGATGGGATGGGATGGGATGGGATGGGATGGGTTGGTGCTCTCAGCAGTGCCTGTGGGATAGGTTGGGATGGTGCTCTCAGCAGTGCCTGTGGGATGGGATGGGATGGGATGGGATGGGATGGGATGGGATGGGATGGGATGGGATGGGATGGGATGGGATGGGATGGGATGGGATGGGTTGGTGCTCTCAGCAGTGCCTGTGGGATAGGTTAGGATGGTGCTCTCAGGCAGTGGGATGGGATGGGTTGGTGCTCTCAGCAGTGCCTGTGGGATGGAATGGGATGGTGCTCTCAGCAGTGCCTGTGGGATAGGTTGGGTTGGTGCTCTCAGGCAGTGGCTGTGGGATGGGATGGGTTGGTGCTCTCAGGCAGTGGCTGTGGGATGGGATGGGTTGGTGCTCTCAGGCAGTGGCTGTGGGATGGGATGGGATGGTGCTCTCAGCAGTGCCTGTGGGATGGGATGGGTTGGTGCTCTCAGCAGTGCCTGTGGGATGGGAGTCCTTGGGGACAGGACTCTTAAAAACACACCAAACAAGCAAAAGCTTCAGAGTTCACATGCAGATGATTCTGGAAGCAGTCACACTATTTTCATGCCACTGTTCACTTAGCTATGGAACAGGATGATGGCGACAACTTCTGAGGCGCATGGTATTTGAAAAGTTTTGTTCTGGAATAGTATACATTCAGCAGCATGTTTAACAAAATCTTCTTCAGTGACAGTTATATTCCAGAAACCTCTAATAGAACTTCTATTTGCTAAAATCTATTTTAGATCAATGGCGTATAATAAACTAAAATAGCCCTACAACCCCAGAAGTCACAAAAAGAATCCCTCATGGGAATTTTGAGTCATATTTAGCTATGGCCACTATTTGAGCCCATCTACAAAAGAATTTTGCTTATTCCAAAGTGTTTGTGACCCCTCTAGAGCATGAAGGAGTGCTAATAGTTCTCCCAGTTTTGGGGGCATCTTATGATATTTTATTATGTTAGTGTCAGTATTTCACTGAGATTAGGACTTCCACATGGCAGAGTGGATGCAGGGAGGGAGCTTTATTCATTGGAGTGCAGTGAGACACAACACTCCATGCTTCTTGCTTCCTTTGAAGGATTCTTTCTTATAAAAATAAGAGTTTGCCTCTCTTTATTATATTAAACTATTACCTACAGGCCATTTTGTCTGGACAATTTTGCAGCATTTATTTTCATCTCTGTCCCAGCCATTAGAAATCTGATTTGTCAAAGATACTTGTAAACTACAGTAACTTTTTGACTGGGTGATCAGTGCTAAGGACCTTGAAAAATTGGCAGAACTTTTCATCCTGTGAAAACATTAAGATACATAAAGCAAATTGATAAATACCATTTAATAGAATATAGGCTCTAGGATTTAATGCTTTAACACATAGCAGTAACAGATCATTCCAGGTATGGAACATCATATTTCAAAAGCCATACAGTTAATGCTGTAAAAGGAAGGATTATATGAAATGTGATTGATTCTTATACTTTTATGTCATAGAAAGTAGCTTCAGTTATGTGGGGTTCTGGAATAAGTAAAGTAAGAGGTTATGAGAAAAAGTCAACCCTTAAGTTGCAGACAAAGAGCTTCTACTACCAATATAGTATTACATCATCAAAATATTTCACAGACACTCAGAAATAAGCTGTACTTCTGTATGTCAGTGAAGCAGCAAATTGAATTCTCATAATATGTTTTGAAAATGAGTCTTGTTAGGTTTGATGAGGTGGAAAACGTACTGAGATCACTGGTTTGTTCCAATACATTCAGTACGCTTTTCTTGGATGTTTGCCATGGCTAATCTTTTTAATGGCAGTGTAGCTTGTAAACCCATTTGGTAGAGAGCTGTATGTCTCCGTTTCAGAGTATCACACCAAAACAGGATGGTAAATAAGTTTCTCTTCAAGCATGCAAACCCTATTTTTACAATACTAGAAATTTTATTTTAAGACACATATCAGAAAAACCTCAGTGTTTCCTTTATCAATTCAGTGAGGAGCAGAATAAAATGCAAATGTCATTTCAAATACTCTCACACATACATATGTAAATGTTTGGGGGTTTTAAGAGTTTTATCAAGGGCAGACTTCAGTTAATTCAGGCCCAGTATTCAAGAAGTTGAGCCTGTCACAAACCCTCTGGATTTCTCCAAAACCCCTTCTTAGCTACTCCCACATGCCATTTTGGAAATGGTCTAAGAAAACAGTGGGCCTTACAGTGTTGTGAGCCATCATTGAATGCAAAGTTCTGTCTTAGTAAAATGATGAGAAGATTTGGATGAGACATGAAAAATTCTGGCCTCAGCTTATTGAGGTTGAGCCAGAGGTTGCCGTTCAGGTGCTTCAGATGATCTCAGCCCATGGGCTCACACTGGTATGTTGCCTTTAGTTATATTCTGTAGATTAAAATAAACACTTTCTGTTGCCCTTTACAGCTAAGTTAGGATGCACTGGCAGTGTCATAGCATGTTTATGACGGCCCCAGAGTGTAACTACCATTTCATCTGCTTCTATTCGAGATGTCTTTACAAAATAATATACTTTTCCTTAACACAGTTTCATAGGTATGGGATCTTATGTAGTCAGCATCGCTTTCTTTAAACCACATTCCTGATTCCTTGGTTCTGAAGAAATCTCCTGCAAACCCTGCTGTCTTGTCCTGTCTTCCTTTCTGTCACCCTTAAAGAATCCACACAGGAGAGGTTTGTGTACTGCTGCAGCGGTCCCAGCACTCTGAACTCTTGTTTTCTGTTAAAATATTCATGGAAACTCCCCTTGAGAGAATCCTGTGAAGAAATCACATAAGATGAACGTTTTTTCCCCTAGGTTTCATTTTTCAACTTCTGCATGTACATTTTCCGTAGTCTCTTGTCTAATTTCAAGTTGTTGTTGAGCTGATTTTTTGTACTTCACACAGATAAACAGTTTGCTGCCTTTAAACACTCTCACAAAAGCACAAGGTAGGAGGTGAGAGTTTTTAAACTGTGTATGTCTTAACTTCTTAACCATACAGTAGAGTTGTAGATCTGAGAAGAGATGTAGAAAAAGAGCACACGAAAAGGAAAGAGGGAGGAGAAAAAAAAAAAGTGTCTGGAAGAGCTGCTTTTTAACAGTGACATTTTGTAAGTAATATGGCCCTTTGAGCCAGAGGTTTCAGACTGCTTTGCCAAGAGTCACTGATGGTTGTGGATGGGATTTGTTTGCAGTTATCCCTACAGCGAGGACTCTAGCCAGGGAAGGCAGTACATGAACACGAGATGTCCAGCCTGGTGCGACAGAATCCTGATGTCCCACTCAGCCAAGGAGCTCATTCTGAAAGTAAGTACAGACCTGCAGCCCCCTGATGCCTCCACACTGCATTATCTGCACCAAAGGCAGGTATGGCTGGAAGACTCTGCCCTTGAGTTTGCCAAACTGGAGACAGCACACCATGGTAGTAAATGGAGGGGTGTGCCTCCAGTGCTTTGCACCCAACAAGGGGGATTTGTCCCCATAAACCTGCTGACAGTGACTAAAAGATGAGCTTTCACAAGCACTTCTTTTGGTATCTGAGCTGCCAATGATGACTGACTGTCTTCTGTCCTGTGCCTCTTCTGTGCAAGGATGCACAGCGCTGGGAGACTGACTGCTTGCTTTAAAGAGAGTAACAGAAAATAAAAAAGCCCCTATAAAAACCCTATGAAAAGTCTCCATTAGTCCCCCAGCCCAGTCCACCCTACAGTGACATAAGCAGCAATATTGCCCCTACCAAGGATTCAGCAGGGATGCAAACAGGAGCAGGTACAAGTGGCTACTGGCTGAGGAGGCACACAATTGAGAGAAAGCCTGTACTGCAACAGCTGCAGGCGCCTGACTTACCAGAGTGGTAGATTTCCTAAGGTACTCCCAGGAATATGTCAAATCCTACGTAGGCCACATTATCTCTGTCCCCTGAATGAGGATGGTCTCCAGCAGGTAGGCTCCCAACTTTGGTACACCAGCTAGGTGCCTAAATTTAGACATTCCATTGAGGCTTTAGAGATAAGCTTGTGCAATTATTTTAGAACATACAATTCCTCTTGGGATTTAGTGTTTGTAGATAGGGTTAGGGTTGGTTGGTGATGTTCTGTCCAAGGTTAAATGATCTAAATATGGTTCAGGAGCCTTGCAGTTTTCTTTCCTGTCATTTGCTCTCTCCTTCTTGTTCCACTCTGCCCTCCTTGTTTTCTTGGGAGCACTGGACTAGGTCAGCTGGTTACCTGTGCCAGCTTCCAGTGCCCCTGTCCCTGTGTGTGTGCTCCTGGCTGACGCTGGTTGCCAGCTGCCCTAGAGGGCCAGGACCAGGAAATGGGGATGTGGTAGGAGATCTCTGCCACTTCTCTGTTCCGAGCTGGCCAGCTGGCAGCGGCCATGGGTGGCTGCATAAATGGGTGTGCTGCAGTGAGGTTGTCTTGGCTGACCAGACTGGATGACTCTAACAGGCTTACTGAACCTAAAATTGCCAAAAGTCATGTGTCTGTCTGTGTGCTCCTATATAATTAATGCAGTTTAGTGGGAGTGAATTACAGAAAATAATCTTCTAAGTAAATCAATGTTCTATAGCTTCTTAGCTTTTTTTTTCCAGTTTAAATTAATTACACCCTTGAAACTTGCTCTCCTGAAGTTTATAACCTTCTTTTTCTCTCTCATTGGGGTTATTTATCTCGTGATTAGACTGTTTGCTTTGCAGTATATAACTCACTGAAAGGCTGGGAACGTGTTTTCCACAGCTGCTCGAATTCCAAGTCAATGCACTTCCTCACATCATGAAATTTCACCCAAAATTTTAGACAATGCATGTACTGCAGTATTCAGTAAAAAAATGTGAAGCCAAAGGGCAATACAGGCTTTATAGTCAAATAGTAATGTCAAAATCAGTGTTATTTATTTTCATTACACAAAAATGTCATGTGAAAAAGTGAGACTTTACCCCAAATGTTACCGATAGTGCTTGGCGACCATGAAATTCCTAAAGAACAAAGGATTAAAACCATGAAAAGAGTGGCCAATGAGGGAGGATTTTTTTTAAAGCTATGAATAAGGAGATAAATGTGTACACAAAAGCTTGAAGAGTGTAAACAGTACAGAGGGAAAGGAATTCTTTCTGATTATCTAGAGGGCTATAACTTGGATATAATGGGAGAAAATTCAACAAGGGAAAGCAAAGTTACAGTGCTGACGAAATTTGTAACTGTGAGGTCAGTTACAATTTCCAGTCTCCGTGTAACAGAAACTTCATCAGTTGGATCCTTCAGAGCTCACCTTTAAAAGTGCACACAGCTCTGGAGCTTTGCATTTGCAAATTGTGGTCGGGCAGTTTGGGACTTCTCCTGAAGCTCGTATGCAAAGTGATGGGTGCTGCTGAGGCCACACTGGGCTTTGGCTCAGTGAGTCTGTAACCAACATAGGAGTTTGCTTATCCAGCCCAAAGCCAAACCAGCATTCTGGCCCATAAAACCTAGTGAAATAGCTACTAGAAAATAATGCCAAACTGATAGAGGAAAGGGCAAAACCACAGGTTTCTGTGGTTCTACACAAGAAGCAGTGTTGGCCTTGACTGAGAATTTACTCCACTGCAGAGACCTATTCCTTAAAGCTTTAAAAGGAACTCTGTAGAAAGTAAAAGCAAATTTTAATTAACTGATTAACAAATCCTTAAAATAAAAATGTATATGAACTTTTAAAGAATTTTTTCAATCATGACTATCTATTGAATATTCTTATTCGGCTAATTATTTTGCTGTATTACCTTTTCTTATAGGCAATTAAAGAGTTTATTTTTCTGCCTAGGCAATTCTGTATTTTATTTTAAACAAAAATTGTAGCTAATCTGCATTTAAATCCTAGGTAAAGAAAGGATAGGGTGCACAAATTGCCACTGTACAGTGTGTTCAGCTACACAGTAGGCATTACAGATTGTACTGACATGGGGCTGTAAACAGCTTTCATGCAACATCATCTATCATGCCATGGTCGGTTACCTCACCATCATGTTATTTTATGCTTCCTGAGCCCTAAACCACCAAAGGTTGCCCACTGCTCAGGAGCTGCGCTGATGCCTGATCGCATGAAGTAATGAATGCTCAGCCAAGTGTATATTGTTTCTGCTTGTGCACTGCTGTAATTTGTTTATCTGTCTAAAGATTATGCAGTTGAAAATCCACAATTTTATGCTGCCTTTGTAAATTATCAAGTCGCTTTTGATGAATGTATCTCCACTTCCGATGCTGGTGGCATTATGATCTTGAAATATTGGAAAGTGCTCATGCATACAATGCAGAAGGTTATGTTTTTATATTTTTGGCAGACAGCCGGTGCTGTAAAGTAAATCTGACCTTAAGCTTCCTTACTGCATTAAAGATAATTCAGTTTTAACTTTATAGTCCTAAATGCTACTGTTTATATAAAGTTATTGCCCAGTCAAACTTGACTGATTACAGATGAAAAAGTCTTGGCTGTTTCCTACAAAATAAATTAGTATCGCGAACTAGTTTAAAGCACATCTACGATTGCATTAGAGACTGGAGAGTGTGCAGATTACAGATTTAATTAGCTTATAGAAATTGTTTAGCACAATAAGAAATCATTTTGTATGGCAATGTATTTGTATTTATTCCTGAAGTACTGTGCTAAAGAATCAAAATAGCTCCTCCAAATCACGTTTATTGCAAACAGCAGAAAGATGAGTACATTTTATTATTCATTAAGATAAAAATGCTAAGAAGTCAGTGTATAAGGGTAAAGTTCAACATGGAACAAAATGAAAGCAATTCATAATGGAGACCAGAGGAATGTCATCCGTCATTTGCTGCTTTTCTTAAAATCCCTGAGTGCTTTTTTTCAGATGAAGAAATTTTTCTCAGAGAAATGGTTAAAGATTATGCTCATAACCTGAAAATAATCATTCATCTCTCTGAACATTTAAAATCCCCTATATGATGAAATCAAATGCTGTTATAAGGCAACATGGATTGCATTTAATTCAAAGAACATTTGTCTCACCTAATTCAATAAAAATTGTGTTGTTCTTAAAAAAGGACTGGCCAAATGTGCTTGCTGCATTTTGCAGCAGAAGCCTGGAATGCAACTACAACGAGTCACTCATTTCACTTAGTGCAGCGTTAGCCACAAATATTTCCCTAGGTCCCATCAGCAGGGAAGAGGCATAGAGACCTCAGGGGGTTTTTATGCAGGCAAAATGCACAAATTACTGCAAGCAGTACTGGGCATAAAAGTTCATTTTACACATTCTTTCTCTGGAGAAGCCAAGCCAAGATGTGTTAATATCACCTCATTCAGAAATTGGTTTCACCTATTTGCACAATATTTCCAGTGTTCCTTTCTGTGTGTGTAATCTGGAGAATTCTTGGACTGACTAGTGTTTTGTTGTTTTTTGTTTTTTCTTTAAACTAGTCAGAAAATGATGAGAAGATAGTAATATATGACCACATTGGGCCAAATGTCTGCATGGGGGATCACAAGGTAATTAAATTAAACATTTTAGTCTTTTATCTTCTAATTTTTTCATTAGGAATGAGAATGTATGCACTAGGTTCTACTAATTGTAAGTCAGCTACGTCTCTGTCCTGTTTTTAAGTAATACCTTGAAAATATTTCAAAGTTGAATTCAGCTGCAGTCAGTCTGTCTGTCAGTCAGTCTGTCTATCAGAATGGCTGCTTGTGTGAAATCAACAGGATGGGTGCTAGAATGAAAGCAGGATACGATGCAGCGAAGAGGAGCAGCCATCTGTACACTTAAAGCTCTTCTAGCAGAACACAAGTGATTTCATGGAGTTATCAACGATGCTTTCAAAGCATAGCTTCAACTAGGTTGATGCATAGGTGCTTGATAGTAAAAGAATATATTGGCAGTTCCATATTCAAACAAGTGATAAAAAGAATATAGAAAAAGGATAAAGAATTATAAATAAATAAATACCAGTAGTTTAAATTAGTAAAATACCTGAATTCTGTGGTCTTCTTTGCTGAACATACCAGATGGAAACCTAAGTTTGAAATACAATAAAACAGAGTATTTGCTTTCTCTGAAAAAAGCCAATTGAGGAGTAGGAGGTAACCTCTGAAAGCCTATCTAAAACCAGCACTGAGGCTCTTGAATGATAATTCAGAGGGATAGGGGGTAATTGTATGTGTGGATGGATGTGTACTTGCAAATCTGAACTCACAAATGCATACCCCTATTTAATTCCATGGTCAGAGTTCTTGTGAGACAGAGAATTGTTTTCTAAGGAAAAATGCACTTAGGGCATTTGGTCCAGAATCATCCAAGGTTTTAAAACAGAGCAACTTACTAATTTATCCAGTAAACAAAAAGCTCTGGGTCAGCCAGTTCAGAAACAGCAGTTTTTGTTTCCTTCATCACGAAAGTGGTGCAGCACCGTTACTAAAGGGAGTTGTGTATGGGACCTGAACTTCTTCTCACAGAAATCTGTGGAAAGTTTTCCTTTAGGTTTCAGTGGGAGCAGAAATCTGTGAGGAGATTATGTTGTTCCTTTATGCATTTTGTAATTAGATTAATTCAAAAACTTGTTGCAATATTTTGTTTCCAGTCATAGAGATTTTTTTGTTGTATTTACTACTGACTGTAAAGAAAAAAAAAAAACAAAACACATATGTTTCAAACATGTAACTTCTATTTTTCCCTAACTTGCTGCAGCCTGTGTTCCTGTCCTTTCGAATAGCTGCTGGGGCAGGTAAACCTATTGCAAATGTGCACAAGTGTTGTGTCGTGCAGTGATGTGGTGGTAAATATCATCTTTTTTCTTTACGTTTCTATTACATTTTCTACATCATTTCCCCTGTGTTTATCTTTCTTTTTAAAAAAATGCCAATTCTGCAACAGGAAAAAGATGCCTACGAAGTGAGAAGATTTTCCGTGAAACCACACTGTAGCCAGGAGGGAAGGCAGCACACTGAAATCTGTAATCCTAACAGCTGTATTGATAAATCCAGTCCTGAGTGCCACATTTTTAGACTGCTGATCGTACACTATGCTTCAGCATCTGGACTCTGTTCAAGAGACGCCTCACATACCTCACTGTCTTGTATGTTCATGTGACATCAAGTAGAAATGTGGAATTATTTTTTATATATATGTCACAGTTCTGTTGCCAAAACTCTAAATAGACAGCAGAGATGTTATGTATTCTAGATTTCACAACTTTCAACTTTTAATAAGTGTTTGTCAATGTGGAAAAGCTATTTCAGCATATTATAAAGTTTTAAAGGTATCATACCCATTATATATCTTTACCACTTTGGGATTTTGTACATTGGATTGTATAGATAGAGATATTGATGGTTTTAAATGGTATTTTCTTTTTTGACCAAGGCTTATGGTTTGTGTTTTAGTTTTAGTATTTTGGTTTTCATTTTTTAATTTTTTTTCTCATTTTATTTACTATACTGCCATGTTACATGGTTTTTGAATCACACAGCAGCTGCTTTCTATACATACATATATATGTGTGTATATATATGTATGTATGTGTATATATACACAGATATATAAATAATTTATAAACCTGACCAAAACTTATGCTAAATATACTTTCCAATATGAATGCTTGAGAGTGCCATATCAGCAGTAAGTATTGGAGTCTTAGCAGGTTTAGTTAAGTGTACATCAACAACCAACATTTATATAATAAATAATATATAGCAGTGCCATCCTTGATACAGATATATAGCATACTATATAGCACATATATTAGCAGTTTCACTTTGTTACTCCTATAATCTCTTCTTTCTATGTAATATTAAGGATTGAATGTGAAGTTCTTAGCTAGGTTTGGGTGTAACTTTCCAGAATTTTGTAAACTGTTTTTGTCCGTCTTTTGTTACTGTTTTATGGTGCCATATTCTATATTGAAACAATAACAACACGGGAGAAGAAAATAATAGTCTGCTTCAAGTAGCAACGGTATTGGACACAGACTGTATTTATACAGTATTAAAGAAAAAAAAACTAAACACAACCATCAACCCAACTGTAAATTTTCCTGGTTAGTAGCTCAGTGCAGCCTACAATATAGTCTTGTTACAGACATTTTCCTCCCACCACTAAATACAACATTAAAAGGTGATTAGGGAGTCTGTTGATGAAACACAAATGTATGTTTTATTGATTTAATTTAGAACACTACAGAGTTCATGGACTGCACGATGGCATTAGATTGATGCTTGATTTTGGTATAAATCACTACCATTGGAAATGATTTGATGTCTGCTTGCAGAGTTTTCTCAACAGTACAGCCCAGTTTATAGCAAGTATTGTTGCCCAGAGGGTGTCTGCAGCTCTGTATTGTTACTGTGCCATGTTGCATTATAACCACACAGTAATTCTATTTAAGCGAACTCAACTCATAACTCTGAAGGCCTTTAGAAATGAGTACTCTGGTTCTCAAGCAATAAAACTAATCATGGTGAACATGGCTGTGTCTGCCCCTTTAATTTGGTAATTACAGGGAAATTACTAAATTGTTACATTTCTTATTGAGATACGTTTGACTCCACCAAGCAACAAGGGTATTTTTCACATTAAAACTTCTACGATAGGATGCAGTTCTGGTGTTAATCAAAACACAATACAAACCGAGTAAAAGCCACTGAGGAGCTGGTACGGGAGCCCTGATGAGAGGGTGATGCAGCTTTACGAGCCGTTCACAGGATGCTAGTCCTCAGCAGGTCAGTAAATGTGCCACCATAAACTCCTTCGTGATTATCCCAAGTTTCAGAAGAAACCTGTCCAGCCTTTTCCAGAGGGGCCGGGGCCCCGAGTGCAGACGAACTCGCTGCAGCCTCCAGCCGCGGGCCGTGCGGGGCCCGAGCCTCCTCGGGGTGCATGCAGGGCGCACCGGTCACCTGCCGGGGTTGGCTACTGAGAATGCCCCGGAACTGAACCCTCCGAAATTCATGAAACGCAGCTTTGGCATTTTAACAGCCCCGGAGGCGAATCCGGAGGCGCGGGGTGAGCCGAGCCGCTCCGATGCCAGCGGGCGCCCCGCCGCAGCCCCGGGACAGCCGAGGAGCGACGGGCTCTGGCCCAGCATGGGGACGGGTCCTGTCAGCTCGCCCTCTGCCCGGGGCCGTGTCCCCGGGCTGTCAGTCCTGCGGTGTCGGAGCCCTCTTCTCCCATAACGTCCCCTCGTTTCGTTTAAGAACTTGGGTGGGAATGGCTAGGCCCGAGCGCAGGTGCTTTTATCCAAACACTTCCCCTCAGGAGCCCGAACACCGGCCGGTCTCAGCGTGCTCACAGCCGGGCGAAGACTAGACCCTAAATTCGATTTATTCCCTCTGTAATCGCGGCTTAACTGGGCGCGGCCCCGCTCGGTGAGTAGGGACCTGCGGGACTCCACACCCTCCCCCTGACGCGGAGCTGCCCCGGCAGGAGCGAAGGGAATCGGTCACGGTGCGCGGGGACACCGAGGGGGGCTCCAGGGGGTGAGGTCCGGGCCCCTTTCCGCAGCAGACCCGCGCCGTGCCGTGCCGTGCCGCGGTGGGTGACGGCGCCGTGCGGGGCTCGGCACCGGGAGAGGCCCGGGCGCTGCGGAAGGTGGCTGTAGAACCGTGCGCTGCTGGGTCCCGCACCGGCCGCTGGCTGCTAGTCACGGGCAGCAGGAGCGACTGCGGTGCAGCCGCTCCCGGCCTTTGCTCGGGCTGCGAAGCCATAGCTGAGACACTGGGAAAAGAGACGCTCTCGTTCCTTTAAAAAAAAAATAAACAAAAGCAGAAAAAAAAACAAAAAAAAAACAAAAAAAAAAACAACACCTCGCGTGTGCCGAGGGGGAAATGTGGAGTCTCGGGCGGCTGGGAGCGCCTTGGCGGCCGCGGAACCACAAGGAGCCCGGTTCGGGCATGGCCGCAGGTGTGGGGCCGAAGCACGGCGGGAAGGCACGGGAGGGTGGTGGAGCTCGCAGGCCGCCGCGACGGATCTCAACAACCTCGCCCCCGGGTTTTTACAGAGGCCAGTACTCAGGCAGCGCAATGGGCTGTGTCCGGCCCCCATCTCCCCTCTCCGGAGCGGACCCTATCACCCGCCCGAAGCCGACGAGACGCTGCATGGGCAGTTGGGGCTGCACGCTCAGCGCCGGCTCTCTCTGCTCTCCGGGGCTGACGGGCAGTCCCACAGCGCGGGCCCGCACGCCGCAGTGACCGCGGCCCCGGCCCTGCCAGGGGGGCCGGGGCTCTCCCGGCTCAGCCCGCCGGACGCAGCGGCTCCTTTTCCCCTGAGGAGCAGCATCGGGCACCCTGCAGAAGCTCTGGTGTCCCCGGCCCCTGGCACAGAAATGCGGGAAGAAACTCACTAAAGGAGGTTGTTAAATAATTTATTGATTTATACAAAGTCTTTCCAACACGTGTGGAGACATTCTAATGTAAAATCGTGTCCATTTTCCTCTCGTGCTTTTTTGGGCATTGGTTTGGTTTTTTGGTATTATTAAGCATAAAATCCAGAGGCAGGAGAAATGCAACTGCCAAAACACTGAGGGACGGAGTGAAAGAAAACTGCCGTTTTTACACTAGAAATATACATCACAAAATCTGAAATTTACTATATACAAAGTGGCTGAGCTCGGACTTGGGACCCATAGAAAACATAACAAAACCTGATTGTTAGGAGCAGGAAATTAACAGGAAGACTAAAGGAAAGAGCGGGAAACCTTACAGGGGCACAAAACCCAAAAAGTTGAAAAATTTTCTCTGAAATTTACATCAATGGGAAAGAAAATAAATTCATAACTTATTCTGTAAAAAATATATACATTTCACATACATTTTAGGCTGTACAACACACCACTTCAAACACCCAGTTACACTCACCCCTGCTGCGCTGCCCGGTGCGGCCGTCGGCCCCGCGCCCTCACAGCGTATCCGAGCTGGTGCTGCAGGGGCTGACGAGGGACAGGTTTGTGGATTTGTGCTTTTTCAATAGCCTCGTGATTTTTTCATCGTCTGAGTTGGGGTCCAGGGGCTTGTTGTATTCGTCATCGTCCTCATTGTCCGAGCTCTCCTTCAGCTTCTCCGTCTCCGAGTCGTGCTTCTTCTTTGCCGAGGCCATTTCTGCCGCGTGTCTCTTCCGCCACTTGGTCCGTCTGTTCTGGAACCAAACCTGGGCACCGGCACCGGGCACAGCTCAGCCACGGCCTCGGCCCCGCCGCCGCGTCCGCCCCCGCCGCCCCCGTCCCATCCGCAACGCGGGGCTGCGGGCACTCGGAGCAGAGCCCGCCTCAGGCAGAGCCTCGGACGGCTCCTGAAAAGGGGGCGCCCCGTTGGGGACACCTGCCCGGCTCTACGGGGCTGCACGACGCTTAAATCAGCAGCTTCCCGGAACAGTCGTTTGTTGAAAACAGAATACAATAGCCAGGAAAAATATGTATTTTTGGCTTACAGTGCACCCCAGCATTCAGATGCACCTGTAGGCTTTGCTAAAAAATTTGCGGGATTACACAAGGTAAAGTTGTACCACTGGACATGATCATCGTGAAAAAGTGGCCCTTTAAAAAAATTACCTGCGGGGGGCTTTTTGTCGTTGTTGTGATGGGGGTTTATATTAAATATAATATGTCTATTTATTTTAAACCGTTTGCAGCACAGAGAGCTCTAAGCACAAAATAGGTAGAAATTACCCTAAAATCCATCCAAAATCGAAATGCAACTTAAATTCTAACTGACTCCCAGAAAAAAAAAATAAAAATCCCGGCATAATTGCGCGGTGTTCGTGGCTGCTAGTAATTACGGACATGGCAGAAAGCGGCCGCGGCAGGGAGCGGGAGAGGAGGGAGCCCGCAGGACGGACCTACCTTCACCTGGCTCTCAGTCATCCCCAGGGAGTAGGCGAGCCGGGCGCGCTCCGGTCCTGCCAAGTATTTCGTCTGTTCGAAGGTTTTCTCTAAAGCGAATATTTGCTGCCCAGAGAAAGTCGGTCGAGAGTGTTTCTTCTTGCCGTCCTTGTCTAA